TACAGGTGCCTACCACTCTGCCTGGCTAATTTTTGTATTTTTAGTAGAGATGGGGGTTTCACCATGTTGGCCACACTGGTCTTGAACTCCTGACCTCAGGTGATCCACCTGCCTCGGCCTCCCAAAGTGCTGGATTATAGGTGTGAGCCACCACACCCAACCTCTTTCTTTCATCTGTTATCCAACTTCATCTTTTATATTTAGATCTGGTGAGAATGGAACATGGTGCAGCCACTTGGAAAACATTAGTCAGTGCCTCAAAATGTTAAACCCAGGGCTTCAACTCCTCCACATTCTGGCCAACACTTGTTATTGTTTGTCATTTTTATTATAGCCACCTTATGAGAAGTGATATCTCATTATGGTTTTCCTAATAGCTAATGATGTTGAGCATGTTTTCATGTGTTGACTGGGTATATTTTCTTTGCAGAATGTCTGTTTAAATACACCATCCAATTTTAATAGAGTTATTTGTCTTTTTATAGTTTTAATATATTTTGAATACAGGTCCCTTATCAGATATATGATTTGCAAATATTTTCTCCCATGTTCAGTTTTTTTTAGGCAGGAATACTTTATAGGTACTTCCTGTCACATCAGAAAAGATAAAATCAGTGGTATACCAGAGAGTAGGGGGGCAGTAGGAATGGTTCTTCCCAGGTGCAAGCAATAGGGGTATTTTATCTGTAGAGAATTTTAAAATAACAACTAAAGGCCAGACTTTTTATTCTTTCCATTAGCTGGCAATTCTAAGCAATGTTAGTGACGGAATTCCTTCCTGCCAGGGTGGACCACTTCCCCAGCACCACACTGGTGTACGCTACTGCCCAAAATGTCTAGTTGTCCTGCTGTCAGTAATACTCAGCTCAGTTGGTGGTTTCTGGGCCTGATCCTTTCATTGTGCAGCTCCCAATCAACACATTTTCTAATGGTTGTAGTATCAACTGACAACCTTGGGCTAAACTGGTTACTTACTTTGGGGTTGAAAGTGGCAGTTTTCTAAATTTATCATTCATCATATTAGCTAGAATTATTAATAAGAATTTTCCCTCGCGAACTGTTTGGTTTCTCTGATATACAATTCTCATAGGAAGTGATTCTTTAAGTGTTAGGGTTGTTTGTTAGGTTTTTGTCTATAACTTGTTGATTTTTTTTCCCCCAGTTTGTCATTCATCCTTTGAGTTTGCTATGGTGTTTTTCATCAAGCAAAAGGTTTCTATTTTTACCTGGTTAAATTCATTAATCTTTTATTGCTTTAAGATTTTCATATTTAGAAAAATACTGCCGATTTTCACATTAAAAAGAAATCGCATAGATGCTTTTACATTTAGGTCTCTAAATAACTTAGAATCTATCCTAGTATCTGAGGAACAAGTCCAACTTTGTTTTTTCCATGTAACTACCAAGGTGTTCCAAACAGCATTTATTTTTTTCTCATTTTAAATAGATTTTATATTTTAAAACCGTTTCAGGTTGACAGGAAAACTGAGCAGAAAGTGCAGAGAGTTCCGATTACCTCCTACCTCCTTATATGCACAGCCTCCCCCACTGTCACCATCCTGTGCCAGAGTGGTCCATTTGTTACAATTCATGAACCTACCTTGACACATCATTATCACCCAAAAATCCACAGTTTATATTAGCATTCACTCTCAGTGTTGTACACCCTACGAGCTTTGACAAAAGTATTTGACACATACCTATCAAGATAGTGTTACCAAGCTAGCAATGGGCTTGCAGCCCAAAAAGCATAGATGCCAATACTATGCCACCAGCTTTTGAGAAAAGACTTTATTGCAGTTTGACAGGCAAGGAGACAGGAGGCAATGCTCAAATATCTCTCTCTCTTTAGCTGGGGGCTGGGGCAGGTTTTATAGGTGGAGAGTAATGAGGCATGATCTGATTGGCTCTTGTAATGTGGTGTTGCGGGGAGACATGATATGACTGGATCGTGCCATGAGATGTGTAGTTCTTAATGTGGTCCCTGTTACTTGGTCTAAGCACTTAGGTTGCACCCATGGTTGCATGCTTGGTTCATCTGGGCATGATCAGGTTATATAACTGGCAACTTGGGTTCCAGATAACTGAAAAACAACTCACCATCGTATTATATAAAGTTGAACCTGATTGGACTGGTTCTGCAGTTACAACAGTATACTCAGAAGAGTTTCACTGCTCTAAAAGTTCATTGTGTTCTGCCTTTTTATCCCTTCACCCCTCCTTCCCTTCCCTGTATACTGTGGAAACCACTTTTTTTCTTGTTTTTTTGAGATGAAGTCTTGCTCTGTCACCAGGCTGGCGTGCAGTGACATGATCCCAGCTCACTGCAACCTCTGCCTCCCAGGTTCAAGAGATTCTCCTGCCTCAGCCTCCGAGTAGCTGGGACCACAGGCATTCGCCACCCCTCCACCCCGACTAATTTTCATATTTTTTAGTAGAAACCGGGTTTTACCGCATTGGCCAGGATGGCCTCGATCTCTTCACCTCGTGATCCGCCCGCCTTGACCTCCCAATGTGCTGGGATTACAGGAATGAGCCACTGTGCCTGGCCTAATTTTTTGCTGTCTTCATAGTTTTATCTTTTCCAGAATGTCGTATAATTGGAACCTTATAATACGTAGTCTTTTCTGATTGGCAGCTTTTACTTAATGATACATATTTCCATTTCCTCCATGTCTTTTCATGATATGGTAGTTCATTTCCTTTTAGCACTGAATAATCTCTATTGTCTGGATGTACCCCAGTTTGTTTACCCATTCACCTGCTAAAGGACATCTGTGTTGCTTCCAAGCTTTGACAATTATGGATAAAGGTGCTGTAAATATCCACGTGCAGGTTTTTGTGCAGACATAAGTTTTCAACTAATTTAGGCAAGTATCAAGCAATGCAATTGCTGGTTGTATGGTAAGAATATGTTTAGTTTTGTGAGAAACTGCCAAACTGCCTTCCAAAATAGCTGTACCATTTTGCGTTCCCACCGGCAATTAGCAAGAGTTCTTACCACTCCACAGACTAGCCAGCATTTGGCGTCTGACACCATTTTTTTTTTAAAGTTCATCTTTCCCACTATTGCTAAGAGACCTTGTCTTTGTTATACACCACATTTTTATATTAATTTGTGTCTATTTCAAGATTATCTGTTTGCCATTAGTTTGTCAGTCAACTCATACACATGTTCTATACTGTTTTAATTATGGAGCCTTTATAGATTGTTTTAATATCTAGGAGAGCTACTCTTTGTACTCTGCTTTTCTGTTTCCATTTTCCTGGTCATTCCTGCTGGCTTATTCTTCCATTAGAACTTTAAAATCAAGATTTCTAACTCCAGATTAAGCACACACACCCCCCATGGTCTTTTTATTGGAACTAAGTTGAATTTTTAAACTAAGGTGTAACTGCTGTCTTTAGGGTTGAGTTTTTCTTTCCAAGAACATGGGTTATAGTTCTGTTTCTTAAAGTCTACCTTTTTAATCTTACAGCTCGGGCCTTTTTTCTCTTTTCACTTTTATATGTTGTATATATCTTGTTGAGTTTATGCCTTGTTATTAGAGACCTCTCCTCCATTATATTTTTCAAGCGGTCATTGTATATATGAAGGTTATTGATTTGGTATTTAATTTTAATATTGCAGCTTTACTAAAATGTCTTATTTGTAGTCATTTTAAAATTATTTCCTTTTGAATTTTCTAGACATATATTATTTGCAAATAGGAATAGTTTTAGCTCTTCCCTTCCAGCTCTTCTGCCTTTTAACATCTTATCTAACTGCGTTAGTTTATATGTTGAATACAATGTTAAAAGGTAGTGGTAATTGTCCTGACTCTCTTGGGAACGTCATTAAGAATCTTTTGAGTGTGCACACGCAAACATCAAGAATAAGCTGCTATTTCAGCATGCTCTGTTTTTAAAGAAAGGATAATGACACATAGCATGTGCAGAGAGCCAGCCTGTATATAGCTAGCTTGAACAAATCTGGGTTTGTCAATGACAGAAAGAACAGGGAAATATAAATTAAAGGACAAGTCTGAAGCATCCTTTTAATTTCTACTGTATTGGGTGTTGAGTGCTTTATTTTTTAAATCATGGGTGTTAGATTTTTGTCAAATACCCTTTTAGCATCTGAAAATACTAATATGATTTTTCTCTTTACATCTGTGGATGTGATCAGTTGTATTGTTTGATTTCTTAATATTAAGCCACCCTTGTGTTTGGTCCTAATATATTATTTTTAATAAACTTTCAGATTCTGTTTGCTAATATTTAAGATGTTTGTATCTGTATTCATAAAGCAGACTGGTCATGTTATTTTTGTTAATTACTTTTTTTGCATTATTAAAATTATGTCCTAATATATCAAAGACCATCAAATAGCCCCTTTCGTGCTGTGAGATGTCATGTCTACAGCCTAAGTCCACAATTAGCCTTTACATTTATATTTGTCCTTCTGCACCTTGGGTTATAAATGTATATCTCTGAAAGTGCAGCATCCCAAAGTGCCTCAAATCAATAGATGATATCCTTTCTCTTTCCACAGCTGTGTGTCCAGGGCTTCAGCTTCTAACAATACGTTTCCAGCTGAAAATCCATTTAACCCAGAGCAGTGCTTTCCACGGCAGGAGTGGTTCATGTGAAGCTTTTCATTAATACTATCTCTGTCCTCCTGCACAAATCTCTACATCCCCAGACTTATTTGCAACCCCACGATGGTGGCATTCATTTTATCTCGTGGAGACATCATGATGTTTTAAATATTTCTTTATTTTAAGTATAAGTAAATAAACTTTGATAGCAATATTAGGTTAAGAAGAAAGGGTTCAAACATGCGAAGAAAAGCCAAGGCTCGTTATTTTAATGTGGACACCTGTGTGTATTTTAAACCATTTTCTAATTTAGTTGTCCTGTTAGATGTGCTTAAAGTTAGACCAACTGCATGCTTTTAATAAAACTCTGTTATTGCTTCCATCCAAACTGGAATTTTTTTTCCTATTTGTTTCTTACAGAGGACATAAAGATAAGATATTTGTGGTAAAGTGTAACCCACACCACGTCGACAAACTGGTTACCGTTGGGATAAAGCACATCAAATTCTGGCAACAAGCAGGTACTGTTGTTTGGGTTTATCATTTATGTGATTGAGAGCTTTACCCCAGCTGGAAAGAAAAACAAAACTGTCGCTACTACCTGGCTTGTGTCTGCAATCTAAAATAAAACAGTGCCTAACAAAAAAATTCTCTCCCAAATTCACTTAGAATGCTTTGAAGCTTAGAACACTATGTGACGCTATGCATATTCATCAATACCTAGAAAGCTTTGGAAAATGTTCTGCTGCAAAAATAATCATTTTCATATTTAGTCATCTGTTCCGAAAGCAGTAATTATGTTAGACTACTGCACAGGAAATAATCATTTTGGTTGAGTGAATAAAATTTTATCTATTTGGAGGATTCCTTTATTACTGAATTTAGACCTGAATTAAACCCTGAGTCTGCCCACAATAGGTGGTCCAGTAAATATTGGTGGATTTAATGTTGATAACATTGATGAGTAAATAAGCATGAGGAAACATAGAGGATATCTTATTCTTCACACTAATAAGCCAGACTTAATACAATTGAATCTGAATTCTTCGTATCAGCTTTGGTACCAAGCCCAATCTTCTTATGCACAAAATGTGAATAAGGTTCTGCTCCAGTGCATTTTGCTTTTAAAAGAGGGTAATGCCACCCAATATGCCTGGAGAGCCAGCCTGTGCATGGTTGTTTTGAATAAAGCTGAGTTTCTCAGTGACAGGGAGTGTGGGGACATATGAATGTGTAAGGGACAAATCTAATGGCTTGTCCCATGTACTACCTTTTCCTACACAATAATACATTTTTCTCACCCCAAATTTGCTGTGATAAATAAGCAGAGCACATATGACATGCTTATATTTACAGTCAGCACCATTCCATCGTTTTTGGTCAGCATTCATGAAGACTTTACTTGCTCCTCCAGGTACTTAGTCATGCTTTCTCTTGGCTGACACAGAACTTGTGCTGAGCCTCGGTTAGATGCATGTCTTGGACTGAGATGCGTATTGAGCCCTCTCTCTAGCTAGACTATGAGTTCATTGAATACAGGAACCCTCTTTTCATCTTCATATTCTAGCAGTGAGTGCAGTGCCTACCACATGTAGGGATTCAGTAAACACTGAGTTAATGAATGAGACAGGAGAACTACTTGAATCTGGGAGGCCGAGGTTGCAGTGAGCAGAGATCACGCCACTGCACTCCAGCCCAGGCGACGGTGTGAGACTCTGTCTCAAAAAAAAAAAAAAAAAAAATGAATGAGAAATACTCTTACAATATTTTTGTTTGTGATGTTCTCTGCCACTTTTAGACATCTTTATGTATAAACACAATGAAGACACACCAGGTTTCTCATGGAAGTAGTCATTCTACATGGCCATAGGAAGTGTCAGATGTTTTAAAGAAATAACTATTCTTGGTCCACTCTAGGTGGGGGCTTCACTTCTAAAAGAGGAACTTTTGGAAGTGTTGGAAAATTGGAAACAATGATGTGTGTTTCTTATGGGCGAATGGAAGATTTAGTGTTCTCAGGAGCAGCTACTGGAGATATTTTCATTTGGAGAGACATTCTGCTACTGAAGACGGTGAAAGCTCATGATGGGCCTGTGTTTGCTATGTATGCGTTGGATAAGGTATGGCCTGCTTTTCAGCATTCATTTTCCTCATCAGCCTTCTAAAATTGTAAGGTAGTCTTAAGGCCCACCGAGAGGATGCCTGTACCTAAAACAGGCATGTCTGAATTAGGAAATAGTTGTCATGAAGCTCAGTCAAGAGACAATAGGGAGGAAAGCAAAGATACTTTTATAATTTCATTTATAGTTGTTTATATGCAACTTCTCTCCACTTTTTCCACACATGCTCTTCCTGGCTCTCACTCATAAAAGAGTCCCTTAAGAAGTGCCGGGATAAATGTGGACACTCAGCAGTAGAATAGTCCTGATAAATATTTCAGCATTGTCTTCCTCCTTGGTAACACAATGGGCAGAGACCGGGAAGTACCAAGCAGACATTATTGTTCCAGACATCCATTTGCTATGACAGAAATTTACATCCCTAACCAGCTTGCTCCTGTGTGGAAAGGCTCAGCTTTAACAAGAATGGCAGAGTGAAGACTGTTCACTCAAGCTTGTCATCACTGCCCTGGTCTGTCTGCTTGCCTTGCAGTGTTCCTTTACAAAGGTTACATTTACCTTCTGTCTTAGTCTGTTTCTGCAGCTGTAACAGAATTTCGGAGAATAGGTGCTTTATAATGCTTTATAATGAACAGCAGTTTATTGGCTTTCAGTTCTGGAGGCTGGGAAGTCCAAGACTGAGGGGCTGCAACAGGAAAGGTCCTTCTTGCTGTGTTACCCAATGGCTGAAGGCCCAATAAGAGTGGAAGGAGCCACATTCACCCTTTTATAATGAACCCACTCTTACAATAACAGCATTAATCTGCTTATGAGGGCAGACTCCTATTGCCTAGTCACCTCTGAAACCTCCCACATCTAAATACTGTTACACTGGCAATTAAATTCCAACATGAGTTTTGGAGGGGACTAACATTTAAACTGCAGCACCTTCAGTGTTTTAAAATACGTTCTTCAATCAACTTGCCGACAAATACCTGCTTCTTTTCAGTTACTTCCAGTTTGCTGATGGTACCACCTCACCTATGCCCTGTGACCTCCCGTTTAAGCCACTTACTACTCCTAACCCAAGCCTCATTTTTCATTTTCCTGTCCTTAGGCAAATGTGTTGGTTCTATCGCAAAAGTAGTTCTTGTTAGATGTGCAACGATAATGGTTATTTTAGTGGCTAAGCTGTTTTTTACCAGCAAATATGTTTTTGGTTAAACTGCAAGTATTAGAAAAGATTAAAGAAGTGTAAAGAATTTCTGTAGCCCCAGAAGTGAATATGGTATAACTTGTTTAAGCTCTTGTTGTTTGGTAAATAAGACTGCAAAATCATGGGAAAAGACAAAAATATCACAATGTAATACACTGCATTTAAATTTAGTTTGGGGATTGAATTTTCCTGGGTATAAATTCGATATAAGAATAAAGATATTGTTACAAACTTCAAAATATTATTTCTTTGTAAACTTCATAAAAATGCATTAAATTAAAAGTTGCTGAGGACGCAATGAATTACTCAGCTTTTTTTTTAAAAAAAAAAAAAAAAAAAAAAAAAACCTCTAAGAATAGTTGTTGGTATGTATAATAAATTACCAGAAAGGAAAACTAGCAAAGCCAAAAATTCATAAGCTTAGAACAGGAATAAAGATCAGTATTCAGTAAAAAAAATGTCCAATATGTTAAGATTTTTGCTTTCCAAGTTTTTGTAAAAATTAATCTGGATTTTAATTATGGAATCATGTCTGTTGAATGAAATAGTAGAATGGTTTCATTAGACAAAGTACCTGAGTTACTCATAATAAATAATAATGTTTTCTTCTAGACATGACTTTATTTTTAAATGTTTAACAATAATTTTAAACTGTGATACTAATTTCAATCCATTTGGTCAGAGTATGTGAGATACTAGAAACTCTTCTAGGTTTCAAGGCTGGTTCCATTCTGTAGGAACCACATTCTGGTTGGGAGACTGGGCACAGACACAGCCGTCCTTGATCAGTGGGCCAACTGCCAACCAGTGTTCTGAAGAGAGTGCAATGGAAACATGAGAATGTGCTTGATCCTGCTAGGAAAGTGTGGGAGAGATGATTCCAGAAAATATTATTTGAAGATTGTTACCACCAGGGTTTTCCATCTCATATGGAAAGATGTGGAAGATACCATACACAAAGCTCCCTTACCCACAGGGGAATCCTCCTGGGGCCCAGTGGGTAATTGGTCATTGTGATGTGTCTATAACACCTCCCATGTATGCTTTCACAGGGCTTTGTAACAGGTGGAAAGGACGGCATTGTGGAGCTCTGGGACGATATGTTTGAAAGATGCTTGAAGACATATGCCATTAAAAGATCAGCGTTGTCAACTAGCTCAAAAGGTGCCACTCCCAAAAATGTAATAGAGATCTTTGTGTTCAGAGGGATGAAGGAGATAGTACTAAAGTCTTCAGAAAACTATTAGCAAATCAATTCTCTCTCCCTTCCATGTTCAGAACTCTCTTCCCCTGGTAGGAATGCCAAGGCTGACTGCCTAGTACCTAGTTCTTTGGAGCTATAACAATTGAATTTATACCAATAAGCAGTTGTTTTTGTTATTTTATGAAATATACCATCCCCATCTCTAGGCTTGCTTTTGGAAGATAACCCTTCAATTCGTGCCATCACTTTGGGACATGGACATATCCTGGTGGGAACAAAAAATGGAGAGATCCTGGAAATTGATAAGAGTGGCCCAATGACTCTGCTTGTTCAGGTACTGTTTGTACATATCCTAAACTGTGCTTCACATCAGCACTGGGATTACAAAGAGGCAAAGTTGATGCTTAGGGTGCAAAACCTAAGGAGTCACTCACCCTTAGGGTTGTGCAAGTGTTGAAATACTTACCTATTGTGTAACAAATTGCCACGAACTTAGCAGCTTAAAATAACGCATGTTCATTATCTCACAGTGTCTGTGGATCCAGAATCTGAGCACAGCTTGACTGGCTCCTCTGTTTAGTGTTTTATAAGGTTGCAGTAAAGCCCAGGATTATGGTCTCATCTGAGGCTACATTGGGGAAGATTCCTCCAAGCTCACTCAGACTGCTGGCAGAATTTACTTCCTTGAAAGTGTAAGACTAAGGCCTTTTTTTTTTTTTTTTTCTTGCTGGCTGTTGGCCAGAGGCTACTCTCAGCTCCTAGAGGCTGCCCACATTTCCTTGTCACATAGGGTTTCCCAACATTGCTGCTTTCTCAAAGCCAAAAACAGAGGGAAGAAAATAGACACTACAATCTTAGGTTACGTAATCATGTCATCACATATGTGCAATTATGAACATTCCATCGCCTTTGCCGTATTCTGTTGGTTAGAAACAAGCCACAGGTCATACCACGCTCAAAGGGAGGTGATTATGCAAGATTGTGAAAACCAGGAGGAACATGAGGGTCACCATCACTGGCCACCCTCTGGCCACCAGTTACTCTTGTCCCTACCACATACACCATCTTTACCTCCACCCTAAAGATCCTCAATAGCTTTATCCAGTTACGGGTTTCAGAGTCCAGAATCTCATCATCTAAACTGGGTCCAGGTGTGGAGGAGGGGCCTTAGGTGTAAGTCCTGTCAATCTGTCTATCCACAAAATGAACAAGTTACCTGCTCCCCACTCACCAAATGCACCAATGCCCCTTTGGAATGTGGGCCTTACTCTAGTCTCAGTCTTGATCCACATAAACACACTGCATCCTCCTTAATCTCTGTCTCCACTCAAAAGCCATATTTAGGTAAAATCAAACTAAAATAAATGTAACAGAACCCTTTAGGAGCCAAGAAATGATAAAATCTCACCTCAGGGGTGGGGATGTGGTAGGGTGTGGAAGTGCATAGGTAGTCCTGCCCAGTTTGGTGATGGATAAGACTATTTCTAGGTGGAAGAGGCGTGGTGGGGGTGAAGGTTGCGTGTTCAGAAGTTGGAGGGAAAAGAAAATGCACTGATAATAAGAACATTCAGAACTTCCTGATTCCAGTGCAGGAGCTTCCCCTCCTTCCCCTGATCTCTGAGTGATGCTTGCAGGCTTGCTGTATTAGGAGTGAATCTCAAAATCTCACTGAGAGGGTCCCTCTGATTTGCTGTATGCTGGAAACAAATGTGCCTTTACACTGTTGCTCAGAATGCTGCAAGGCTTGAAAACACATGTGCCCAAGTCCCACCCTGGATATCCTGAATAAATCTGTTTTAAAAAGAAAAAAATCTATGTTCAAAGCAAACCTCAAAAGCTCTGCAGCTGGTCGTGCCTGGCAGCCAGGCTGGAGATGCATCCTTGAGGCATGATGCCTTTGTTCTCCAGCTGTTCTTGCTTTTGTTGTTTTCTTCCAAACTAAATCTTTTTTTTTTTTCTGGCCATAATTTTTTATTTAATTTTACTGAAAAGTATTTATGTACTTTTAATCTCCAAATGTTTGAGAATGTGAATTGTTTCTGTGTATGCTATATTGCTAAATATTTTGAAAGATTTATACTCTAATATGATGTAAATAATACCGTAAGGTCTAAACTTTGTTTTCTCTTTTTATCATATATTGTGTTACACTTGAGGTAGTTTGGTTTAAATATGCTTTATGCTTGATAAAGGCTTTTCACTTCTTAATTTTCTACATTCTATTCTTCCTCTATTTGTTTCTGTTGCTCTAATAAGAAAAATAATGACAGCTACCATATATTGAGCACCTACTGTGTGTCAGGCAATACTGCTGAACAAAATTTCGTCTCATCTCCACAATAGATTTGTGCTGTTAAATTGTTTTATAGCTGAGGGACCCAAAGCCCAGGAAATTACTCACAGTCACATGCTAAGAACTGCAGAGCTGGGATTCCAACCAAGGTTTGCCAGAGCCCTTTCTTTTTCACCTCACCAGGCTGTTCCCACATCTCTTAGCATGGACACTGCAGAAAGCCCCTAAGCTATAGGGTGGCTGGTTGAGCTGGTGGAAGCTTCAGACCAGATGTTGGTTACCATCTGTGCCACCTAAATGGGTACCATTCTCTCCCTATTTTTCTCAGCATCTTTTTTTTTTCTCTCTGCTCTCTTATTTGCTACTTCCTCTTTGGTGGACCTCAGTATTTCAGTTTCATCAATGTTTGTTGGACTTCTGCCCAGGTCTGTTCTGTGTTAGGTGTATGTGAGGTGGAATAAGGGCTTCCTGCTCACCCAGGACTGCCTCACACCCCTATTCTGAGAGACGGAAGACACCAAGGGAAAGTGAAGGAACTGTAGAGGCAGTGTGAGTGAGCCGATGGACTGTCCTGCTGGGAGGAGATTGCAGAACCACTTTGCCAGTTTTGGTGGCAAGGCAATCCAATCACAGTCGGAATAGATTGCTTATTTTTAAAGAGAAAATAAGGTTGGGGGAGGGGAGAATGGCAGGTGATGGGTTAGGACACTGCCCATCATGTGTGCTTTGAAGCAGTAAACTCACAGCCGTGCAGCTGTTTATGATCAGCAAAGGAGGATCCTAAGCCCATTTCCTTGTGCCTTTCCAGATCCTTCAAGCATGGCTCGCTTACTGTCCATTCCTGTGTTACACGGGAATTAAAATAAACAGATAAAGGAAATATAATTTTCATATCACTATAAGGCAGTGGTTTAAAAGGATCTCTGAGTCCCACAATCCTGTTAACTAAAATGCATAAAGGGGCTCAGTCTGTCGAAGAGCTTCAAGCAGAATCGGTCTGGGAGGATGTGGGGTTGTCCTCTGATCTGTCCCCTGACTGTGACTCTGGGGCTGGGAGGCTTCTGAAGAGAAGAAAGCTAGAAAACTGGGGATGTGGGGTTTTCTACATCCAATGAATTCCAAATCCAACAAATTCAAAAACAATGTCTGTACCCTTCAGCCCCTCATTTTCTCATATTTGAATGTCAGCTGTATTTGGAACTTCACATCTTCTGCCAAATTACTGTCTTGCTCAAATAGCTTCTCAGTTAAATTGGAATCATCCACTTTCTCTTTGGAAAGCCACCTGTTCCCCAAAGCATTCCAGCCACAAACACCTTTCAGATGCTTGTGTGTGGGCTTCCTTTTTGCTTTACTAAGCAAAGCCAAGCCTTTTTATAATTAGCCATTAAAAAGCAAAAATTCAGTGAACAGTTAATCTAGTCTGTTTTATTGTCCTGTAGCACTAATCTTTACACTGCATTATTGAGTGAAAAAATTACGGGAATCTATTTCATTTTCTCGCTGTTAAGTGTTCATTAAAAAAAAATATTGCTTTATCCTAGCTACTATTCTAAGCCAACCAAGTGTGTTTGTGTTAAGATAAAGGTATATGGAATTGGTCCAGTGCTTATTAAGCACCTTTCAGTTTTTGATGTTCATTGTTGGCACATGAACAGACCAATTTGTGAACACATGCAGAACCTGAGCTATGCCAAGAACACTTGAAATGAAAATTTCGCTTGCATGAGTTCTGCTCTGCCAAATGCTGCATATTCAAAGGACTAAAATTGCATAAACAATGAGAATTTGCTGTTCCATTCCACCGGTATGAATGGGTGGTACCTGCATGTTTTAGAATATGATTTAATTGAAGGGAGTGGTTTGTGTCTTTGTGATTAAGCTGCTTTGCTAGGAGGGTACATATATACTATGTTTATTTAGTATCAAACAGCAGGATAAAAAGGAGGCATTTCACCATTTACCTCGATGCTTCCAAATGGAAAGATGTTTGGCATCCTATAAACAAAACCAATAAGCAATGAGTTCGTGTTTTGCTTTGCAATTGACTGATTCACCATCATGTAGGTCCAGCTATAGATTCAAGTTCAAATGAAAGAATTATTTTGGGTGATAATTTTGGTTTAAGGAAGCTCAAAGTGTGTTTATTCCAGTTTGTACCTGTTAGGGCTACCCTTGGACGGAACATGCAGCCCCAGACTAGAGAAGGGCTAGGCAAACAGCATCAGTGGAGTTCATGTTGCCCCTTCTCCTCTCCCACAGGGGCACATGGAAGGAGAAGTGTGGGGGTTGGCAGCTCACCCTCTCCTGCCCATCTGTGCAACAGTGAGTGATGATAAAACACTCCGCATCTGGGAACTGTCCGCCCAGCACCGTATGCTGGCAGTACGGAAACTCAAAAAAGGTACATAACACCACCTTCCACATCTGTCAGAGTATTTACAAGTAACAGAATGTGTCAGCTTTATTCACTCATTTAATTAATATTTACCGAGGGCACCTGTTACATGCCCCAAAATATGTTGGGCAATGGGAATTTTATATTGGTTGCTACAGTCATAACTAAGCACATGTAGAATTCTTCCAGAAGGCTGGCCTAATCCAGCTCCATTTTTCACTTCATTTTCCTTGCACTGCACAGATACTTGCCACCTGGGGGCAATATGTCCTTCCTCTTCTCATCGAGAGCTGTGGCAGTCAGTTGAAATGCATCAGTTTCTAAAGAATGCTATTTATTTTGTGACTGATGGTCTCCAGAACTTACTTTATTACTTGAAAACAAACGTCAATTATATAGAAAAATAATACTTAAGAAATGGGGAAATATGTACTGAACACCTATATGCACTAGAACTAAGAGGTATACTGAGGTACAAATCCAGCAAACATTTATTAAGTGGCTTCTGTGTGGCAGGCACGCAGGATCCCATGATGAATGGTCCCATTTCTAGTGTGAGAGATGGACAGGGCTCAAACAGGTCCCAGCAACAGGATTCTGTCCCATTCAAACTGGGTAATTCGAGGAGTCTTTAAAATGAGACTATTTATAAAGGGATGCGGAAGGTGTGAGGAAATGACCAAGACAGTGCAGCACTATGCAGCTAGTCACAGCGGCCTTCCTCACTAGCCCTGGGCATGGAGAGGCAGGAGGAGGGGACAATTGCTGCAACCTGGAATGTGAGAGGGCAGGCTGAGAGGAGCCACGACCGTTAGCCAAGGGACTCTGCCAACATGCAGTGACCCTGCGGGAGGCAGCCAGGGGAATAAGTGGCCCAGCCTCCCTATCCTTCCTCCTTCTTTCTAGTCTCCCACCCATGCTCCCCCGTGGCCCAACTAAACCAGAAACAGAGGACAAGGGAGCCCATTGACGCTGTCCATGCAGGCCAGCTTCAGGCACAGAGCAGGGTGCACAAGGGTAAAAAGGGGATGTGGAAGGTCAAACAGAAGATATTTGGCATATGTACCCTGGAGGCTCAGAGGAGATCTACTGCCTGGAACTGCTTCATCGGGGGAGGTGATGAGAGCTGAGGCTTGAAGAATCTGTAAAAGTTCTTAAGAGGGAGGAAGAGGTTGGGGTCTGGCCCTAAAGTACTTGTACTGAGTAATTTTATAAGCAGGCATGAGTCATGAGGATTGCATTCTAGGGTAATGAATTAAAGTATCTAAACAGTAGTAACAATAGTGATGGTGGCCACTATGGCTGAGCCAGCAACTATGCCAGCTCTTCCCATGTGGTCTTTGTAGGAACCCCATGAGTAAGACTGTTATTATTACCACTTACAGGTCAGAAAACCGAGGCATAGGGAGCTTAATCAGTTTGCACAGTTAGTAGGTAATGGAACCAAATTGAAACCCATGCAGTGTGACTCTGAGAACACCGCTGTGGCCACTTCTTGACTCTGTCTCCCTCTGCCATCCTGCCTCTCTTTACACTGGACCCCTTGGAATTGGTAAATCGTGGAGGCAGGATTTCCCAAATCTAAGTCCAAAGCCCATGGTCTTAATCACTACAAGTGGGAATCATTTTGGCCACTAGTTTGTATTGGGGGAATGATAGGCCAGGTCCCCACTATGGAGGACTTGAATGTCGATCAACGGACTTTATTCCCTAGGTTAAAAATTAGTTGAAAAGAACAACTATTGGCCTATCTTAGACAGGATAACTATTCAACCCAGTTTACCCCTGTTGTTCTGGTATTATTATTAATAGTTTTCCTTTCACTCTCAAATGTGTCTTGGTCTGTATGTTAGATTAATCTCATCTTGATGACATTCTTCAAGGGTAGGTTGTAGTTTTATTGTCTAAGTACTGGAACACCAGGCTCATACTAAGTGAATGGATGAATAAATATGGAATTTAGATGAGTAAATTTAAAGTTTTGGATAGAATATAGCTTTCGGCATACCACAAACAGAGAAGCTGGTAGAGATGCTCGGTATTAAATGCGCTGGCACAAGGCTACCTGGCTGTCCTATCCCTGGGGCTGTGCTTTCAACTTTTGACAATAAAAATGGTGGCAGAGGGTAGGCATGTTCTTAAATAGGTTTCCTTTCAGACATACCTTTGCAAAGTCCATGCTCCTGATTCAGCAGTGTCTTTGTGACCCTACAAAGCAGTAGAAAACATGGCTCATGCAGCACCATCACCCTAGTGCCAATTAGTTTTCCAGATACTCCTCGAGAGAATGTTCAGATTCCATTCTTCCCATGACAGAAGAGGCAGGATCTTTCACCTCTAGAGTTAAGTATTACAATCCATGGATCAGAGAATTGGAGCAACTAAAAGAACGAGGTCCTCTAAAGCAAGTTTTATGTAAGGTATAATATTTTATAAAATGGTTTATGGAAATTTTACTTTAGAACTCCTATTCTTAAATATTACCTCTTTTCTTGGCAGTAAAGATACCGGTTATATTAACCCTATACTCCTTTTCTCCATTTACCGCACTTATCTTTTGAAAACCCCAGGTATTTACTCATAAATGAATGAATAAACCTCATAGAAGTTGAAAATGTATTTTTGATATTATGATCATTGTCCTTAGACCTGGGGAGAAAATATGTTTAATTTTATTTTCTTGAGGCAGGGTCTCCCTCTGTTATCCAGGTTGGAGTGCTGTGACGTGACGATCACTACTCACTCATCCTCTGCCTCCCAAGCTCAAGCGATCCTTCCACCTCGGCTCCTGAATAGTTGGGACCACAGGCATGTGCCACTATGCCTGGCTAATTTTTGTATTTTTTGTAGATATGGGGTTTTGCTATGATGCCCAGACTGGTCTTAAACTCCAGAGCTCAAGGAACCCACCTGACTCTGCCTCCCAAGGTGCTGGGATTACAGGCATGAGCCACTGCACCCAGCTTTTTTTCTGTATTTTTTGTAGAGGTGGGCTTTTACCTCCACAAAAAATAACTTTTCAACTAATTTTTAACCTAGGAAATGTTGCCCAGGCTGGTGTTGAACTTCTGGGCTCAAGAGATCTGCCCAAATGTTGGGATTACAGGCATGAGCCACTGCACCCAGCCAAGAGATGTCTTAAATTGTGAAGTTTTAGTCCTCACAACTGTAGTGTTGATTTAAAGCAGTCATGTGTCCATGCATAATGCACATCATCAGATTTCTTCACCTCTTCATGTGGTTTGCTTGACAGTGAAGTTTTGGCTAATAAGTGTTCTTTGCGGATTCTTTTGTAGGTGGAAGATGCTGTGCCTTTTCCCCTGATGGGAAAGCCTTAGCAGTTGGCTTGAATGATGGGAGTTTCCTGGTTGTAAATGCTGACACTGTTGAAGACATGGTCTCTTTCCATCACAGAAAAGAAATGATCTCTGATATTAAGTTTTCAAAAGGTGAAGACAACAGCAGATACTTTTTAAAATAGCACAGTCTTGGGATAAAAAATTACAAGAATGGACTACTTTAAATGTTTCTTTGACTGTTTCCCCACTTTTAAAATACTAAGTTCCTGAAAGTAAATTCTTATATAAAATGCTTTATTGTTAACCCCACATTTTTCTTTATAGATACAGGAAAATACCTTGCCGTGGCATCCCATGATAACTTTGTGGATATTTACAACGTACTTACAAGCAAAAGGGTTGGCATCTGTAAAGGTGCTTCTAGTTATATTACACACATTGACTGGGACTCTAGAGGTAAAGTATGTTGCAGCTTTTAAAACAGAATTTCTGTATTTAAAAAAATGTCCATGTATGCATTGTTTCCAGAGAGAATGACAGTTGAGTATTAGAAATGGGGAAGGGGAACCCCACAATAATATAAAAGCTTGTGATTTTACAACATAGCTGCTGACATTTTGAATACTTTTTCCATCTTTTTATGCTTATGATTGTTATTGTCACTATTCAAGCCATTGAGTTTTGAGACGGTTAAAGACACATGATGCCTTTTGTTATCATAGCAAGCCACCACCTCACCTTTAGTTGGGTGTGCTTTCCCCTTGTCTTGGGTCTCGTCCTCCTTCTCCTCCTCCTGGCTGGCTTCCCATTTCCAACCAAAGCTCCACCTCTTAGAGAACCGCCCAAAAAGACTCAAAAAATTTTCCTCCTCCAGCAGGGGTAGAAATCTACATTCAGCTTGCCTGAAGTTCTCTGCTCTATAAAACTCCCAGCCTACTCCCACCTCCTCCAAGTCATGCCTACGACTGTCATGAGGATTTGTCTATTTAATAAATCTAGCTTTTATGGTATTGCAAAGTCTTAAGCTAGCAAATGTGGAGGCTCTGGAAGTGAGTAAGACGTGGTTCCTGCTCCCTGTGGAGTTTATAAGTGAGTGAGGGAGACATACTTGTCCATAAATAATACAAGAGTACAGAGTGGGTACCGTGTGAGTAAGCAGCAGTGAGTCACAGGGGAGGTGGTTAGCAGGGACTCAGAATGGGCCATAGCAGTGTTCAGTACCCAGGATGGAACATCACACTATAGGGTGTCATTTGTAAATCCTGTCCTCAAGACTCGGCTGGTATTAAGGGTCTGGAGCAGGCACTTGGGAATGGGCAGCATTCCTGCCTTCAGAGAAGTTGTAGTCCACTGTGGTAGAAAAGCACCAAGCCCAGTGTATGCTCTGAGGGAAAGCTTCTATGGGGTAATCCATGGAGCCTTCGTAAAAGGGAGTGACCTCTGAGGTTGATCTTGAGAGATGTGGAGAAATCCACCAGATAATGAAATCAAGGAAGAGCCATTCCAGGCAAAAGGAATATGGCAAATGAAGAGCGAAGGTGGGAAGATCCAGAAATAGAAGTGCTGAGTGGCTGAGGGTGTGAAGGGAGGGGAATGTGGAGAGGCAGGCTGGGATGGAGTGGAGGTTCACGCTGAACTGTGTCCTCTAGGTCCTGGGGAAAGCTAAGGCATCTGGAGTGGGGCATTCCCTCCCATCATGGGGAAAAGAAGTGAGCCTGGGTTTGGAGCAACTCAAATTAGGAGAAAGATGATGGAGGCCTCAGCCAAAAAGGTTATTTCAGAGACACCAGAACCTTTTTTTTTTTCCAAGTATTTTTTGGGGTAGTGGCCGTAGACCCAGTCCTGGAAACCCTCTGCCAGGCAGGTATTTAGTTGTAGATGTACTTGCCACACTGGAATTTGGACTTTATTTCAGCTTTACAACATTCAGCAGTTTTATACAGCGCAGTAGCTAGAGGAGAAAGCATGCAATTCATTGCATTTATACAAGGTACAAGGGCAAAGGGATGTCAGATAAATCCCTTTCATGTCAGGGCAGTGCTGGCTGGCCACAGTGCTGAGGGCTAGACCGGCATTTATGACCAGGCAGGGCACTGTGAGTTATCTAGGAACTGGTGAGGCCGATGAAAGCAGCTGCTTCTCAGACCCGTCTTTGATAGTCTCTCTAATTTTTTTTTTTTGAAGCAGTGATTTCTCCCTATTTATTATCTTGCTATTCTTTTGCCAGGTATAATAGGGCCTGATTGTTTAGAAACACTCACGCGCGCACACACACACACACACACACACACACACACACACACACACACTCACTCTCTCTCTCTCTCTCTCTCTCTCTCTCTCTCTCTCTCTCTCTCTTTCTACCTGACACAGTATGTGAAATCCTACCATTCAATAACTATTAGGGGTTAAAACCCATTATTGTTTCTATTAGGAAGTGCAGAGTCAAGAGAAAAGAGGGCATATAAAGAGTAAATTTCAACTGGGAAGATTCCTTAAGAATTATTTTACTTGTAAAATACACATAACAAATTTACCATCTTAACCGTGTTTAAGTGTACAGTACAGCGACATTAAGGACGTTCACACTGGTGTGCAGCCATCACCACCTCCATCTCAGAACTCTTTTCATCTTGTAAAACTGAAACTCTATCCCCATTAAATAACTTTTCATTTCCCCGACTCCTGGCAACCACTGTTCTACTTCCTGTCTCTATGAATTTGACCACTCTAGGTACCTTATATAAGTGGAATCATACAGTATTTGTCTTTTTGTAATGAGCTTATTCCACTTAGCATAATGTCCTCAAGATTCATTCGTGTTGTAGCCTGTGTCAAAGTTTCCTTCAAGACTGAATTTTATGTATAGGCCATATTTTGCTTATCTATTTATCTGTTGATGGGCACCTGTGTTGCTGCCACATTTCTGCCATTGTGAATGATGCTGCCATGAACGTGGATCTACACATGTATCTTCAAAACCCTGCTTTCAAGTCTTTGAGGCATATACCTAAGGGTGTAATTGCTGAATCATATGGTAGTTCTATTTTTAATTTTTTTGAGGAACTACTCTACTGTTTCCCATAGAGCTCTACCATTTTATATTCCCACCAGTAGTATACAGGGTTCAAACTTCTCTGCATCCTTGCCAAAGCTTATTTTATGTGTTTATTTTGATAGTACCTGTCCTAATGGGTGTGAAATATGTCTCACTGTGAGTTTCATTTGCATTTAGGGAGCTAGTTTGTTTGTTTGTTCTTAATTCTGCAAATGTATAGGCCCTGTGTCAGATGCTAGGGATGTAAAGAGAAGTAAGTCCCAGATAGAAGGCACACAATCTCGGCCAGGATTGGGGGGTGCTGCTGTGGAGGGGTCAGGGGGAAGGTCTTTGTAAAGTCCTTCAATGTGGAGCCATGACTTGGTGGGAAGAGAAGCAAACCTCCATATTCCCATAATTCTGCCTAAGGCCAGCCTCCTAGAGCTCAGGATGCTGGAGAGGGCACTGGGAGTGAGGAGGAGAGAAGTGCAGTCAAAGGTCTTTGAACAGCCACCTTGCCTCTCATCTTAATGGTCCCTTCAGTTGGGTGAGGGGGTGAGGCCAAGTGCATTCTGTGGATTGAGAGTAGTAGAGACACTTGTGCGTCTTGGGGAGGAGTTACACCATCTGGCGAATAAGAGCAAGTATGCCTATGAATCTTCCTGATCTAACTCCAGTAGCCATGAGACGTGTCATCCTGATATTCCTGCATTCCTGACATCCCAGTCCCCAAAATGCCTGCTCTCGAGAATGTGCCATGCTGCCTCAAGACCAGCCTAGCTTTCACAGCAGGGGCCTCCAGGGTCTGGCAGGGTTGAGGGCAGAATTTAAAAGCAGGGATCTGTTTCATGCCTTTGATCCTGTCGAAAATAGTGACAGCATTTGCCAGAGCCAGCTGGCTTATCAGGGGCGGGGATGGCACGGCCGCCAGCCTCAGCAGCCTCTTGTGCCCATGGCAACTACAGGTCCTTGGAAAACCAAGAACTGCATTGGGCTTTTACAGTAACATCAGCTACCCCTGAATGAAAGCTCCAGCATGGAATGCTTGAGAAAGAAAAAATATATGGAGGGAGAAAAAAAATACAAGGATATTTTCTAGATGCCATAAATTCATTTCTAGAAATAAGCTATAAATCTTTTACAAATTAACAATTTGAAGGCTGGGTGCAGTGGCTCATGCCCGTAATCCCAGCACTTTGGGAGGCTGAGGTTGACGACCTGAGGTCAGGAGTTCAAGACAAGCCTAGCCAACATGGTGAAACCCCATCTTTACTAAAAATACAAAAATCAGCCGAGTGCGGTGGTGGGTGCCTGTAATCCCAGCTACTCGGGAGACTGAGGCAGGAGAATCTCTTGAACGAGGGAGTCAGAGATTGCTGTGAGCCAAGATTGTGCCACTGCACTCCAGCCTGGGTGACAGAATGAGACTCTGTCTCAAAAAACCAAACCAAAACAAAAAAACCAACTTGAGCCATAATAGGACATTTCATTCCCATTTTCATTGCAAATGGCCTGATATTTGGTACACTTAGTGCCAATGTTGGAATTATTCTAACTTGTAAATTATGTAGCAGCTGGGATGATGTATGTGGATCACTTTGTGGGCTGCAAAGCTCTATGGTACCTGCAAGATGTGTGATGTAAGGACATGGGTGTCTTTCAGTTTTTAATCTGTGTGAGCAGATATTTCCAGTGAATAAAAATGTGATTCTGAAAGAATAGGATTACTGTTATTCAAGAGCAGTTATAAATGCATTAAACAGTTTTTGTTCTTGCTTCTGCTCCTTATCCTCAGAATATTTCAGTGGTTTTATACACACACACACACATCCATATTATACATACAGAGCAGCAGGCAGAGAGAAAAAGGAGTGGTGACCTAAATATTGCCTCATGCTTAAAAAAATGTGTATTAATGGCAGTAAAGAAACTTTTAGTTAAAAAAAAAATACATACCCTCAATTATTCCTTCCTAACAGAAGAATAGCTTTTTGGTTTGGTTTCTTTCTTCACATCCTTGATTGCAAGGAACAGAAACCCACTCATACAGCTTAATTTTTTTTTTTTTTTTTTTTGACAGTGTCTCTGTCACTCAGGTTGAGTGCAGTGGTATGATCTCAGATCACTGCAATCTTTGACCCCCGAGCTCAAGAGATCATCTCACATCGGCTTCCCAAGCAGCTGAGACCACAGGCACTGCCACCACACCTAGATAATTTTTTTTTTTTGTATGTTTAGTAGGGTGGGGTTTCACCATGTTGCCCAGGCTGGAAACCAGCTTAAATATTAAAATAATAATAAAACATGAGTTTATTGGAAAGATGTGGAGATATTTTATAGAATTTAAGAGCAGGAAGCAACACCTGCCAAGGTACTGACTTTAGAAATGAGCTAGAAAACATACAGGAACCAAGCAAGCAGCCCCTCCCCCTCCTCTCCCACCCTTAGGCAGCTGGTTCAGCAGCAACTGCTCTTCTGGGTCTTGTCTCTGCCTTTGACTCCTCCCTCTGCACAAGCAGGCTTTCTCTGCTTCCTCTGCACATGGCCCAGTCTCAGCTGCCCCAGAACACCACCCACAGGCCCCAAATCCACATCTTATCCCGGTAGGCACCTGCTAATTCAGCCTCTCAGATTCCAATTTCCCAAGAGAGAGAATTTGATTACCCAGCCCAGTGTGTGTCTGGCCCCTTCTGTGTCAACGTCTGCCGCCAGAGTACAAACGTGACCACAGGGGCAGTTCTTGGGGAAGGGGCACGGACTAGATGGGGACCCCACAAGCTGTCTCCAACGCTACACAGCACTTCCATTCCTGGTCTATGTGTTTAGATTCTCGAATGTTTTTGCAATCATAAATTACCCCACTGAGAGATTTTTCTCCCTTTTCCTTTTAAGTGAAATATGGTCTTTGAAACTGTGGTGTAAAGTGAATTGTTGGGATTTATCTGAGAATTACAGTCCTCTGAGTTCTTTTAGTATCTCGTGGCCAAAAAATTGTCTAAAATTAGCCATTTTCAAAGAATGTGTTCACTGAATCCTTTAACTGTTTGTCCACATGCTTTGTCATTTGCAGTCACTCTTGAGTGTCCTAAAACTAGAATTACTTTACAGATGTATTTAGTTCATCGGAAAAGTATTGGTTACTCATTTTCTTATAATTCTAAATAGCCAAAGGTAATTAACTCCCTTTTTTTCTTTGCTTACTTACATATATTCAGCCATAAAGTCAGAAGATGTACCCATTTCACAGTACACACTTTCAGATATATTTGTTCTGAGACAAGGAAAAATCCCTTAATTACGATGTTATAATAAATTAGAAATGATTAAAGTTGTCAGTTTAGAAATGAGAGAACCGTATTTTTAGCTATCACATAGAAGTAGATATACAATTTAAGATTAGCTAAACTAGGCTAGGTGTGGTGGCTCATGCCTATAATCCCAGCATTTTGGGAGGCTGTGGTAGGCAGATCACCTGAGGTCAGGGGTTCAAGACTACCTTGGCCAACATGACAAAACTTTGTTGCTACTAAAAATACAGCAATTAGCCGGGCGTGGTGGGCACCTGTAATCCCAGCTACTCGGAAGCCTGAGGCAGGAGAATCGCTTGAACTCAAGAGGCGGGGGTTGTTGTAAACCAAGATTGCACCACTGCACTCCAGCCTGGGTGCTCCGTGAGACTCCATCCCCTCTCTCCCCCCACAAAAAAATTAGCCAAGCTAGATTTCAGATCAAGGTGGTGCATATTTAAATGGTAAAGAACACAATCTAAACCAAAGACTTAATATTGGTATTATTTTTCTAAGAAAGATATTTCAAGACTACTCAATATACATAGTTATGGGAAAAAGCAAATGGAGAAATATTATGTATATGTACAGTGAATTATTTATAGGTAAAATATTATGTCTGAAATTTGCTTCAAAATAATCTAGGGTGGAGGTTCATGAAACAGGGTTGCCCATGTGTTAACAGCTGTTGAAGCTGGACAGTGGGCATACAGGGGTTCCTGATACTCTTGTTTTATACATGTTTGAAATTTTTAATAATTTTTTTTAAATGCTAAAAATACTGGAATGTGTATATCTTGAGTCATTTACATTTTAAGCCTTACAAGATTGTTGCCATTGTAGGAGGAGAATTACGAAATCTAAACTTTTTAACATCAAATCCAAGATTATAATTGTACATCAGACTGAAAGACTATTTTTGCCCAACATTTTCTTTGGAGAAAGTCCTGGATTTCTTTTCAAATTTTCAAGTAACACTGAAGGGTAGGGAAGAAATGAGCATTTATAGTTTGTTTTGTGTGTTCTTTCTGTTTCTAAACTTTAAAGGCAAATCTAGAATTTAGACCTAAGTAAATGTGAATGAATGCTCACAATAAGGTTTTTACTTCTAATTGCTGTAATCTTCTAATGCCATAATTCTTGCCAACACAGTTTGCTGAGAGGCAATTGGGAAAAAGAGGGGAAAGTTTATTTTTCTCAGGCTTTGGAAAACTGTAGTTATTTTCAATGCAACAGAGTAAAACATATCAAGCTTGATTCTTCTGTTCTTGAAGGATGTTCAAGGTCAAATTTGATGAAGTCCATATTCTAAAAATGACAGCTTTGGTGTTTGTACCACATCATGTAATTGGCTGTACATCCCCTTCTGAATAATTTCTAAATGTATTTACTCAATTTATGAGACTTTGATTAAAATAAATTAAAATGGTGGCAGCCATGCTTCTCATTTTATAATAAAGAGATAAAGTCAGTGTTTAATTGTTTCTCTACTTCATTCTATCACAACAGGAAAATTATTGCAAGTTAATTCAGGTGCCAAAGAACAACTATTTTTTGAAGCTCCAAGAGGCAAACGGCATATAATAAGACCTTCAGAGGTAACAATCATACGTAAAAAAATTTAAAGATATTTTGGGAAGTTTTAATATGTGCATTTTAATAAAATCTATCAACATTAATATAGATTATAATTAGTATATCTTTAAGCTTGATCATGTCTTAAATCTGATTGCTTAATCTGGTTTCCTGATTTCCAGAACATATGGATTTACTACACCTATGGTATAGCAATATACAGTTGGTGCTCTGCTTAATTTTTCTCTGCCTGAAGACAATGAATAAGCTAACAACTTGGATGCCATACATTGCTTTTTCCATTTGACATGTCATTTTGTGCAAAGCTTTTTATGAACATACATTTTGAAACATATTTTCTCAATGTTTATTTGTGATTATGAACATTATAATCTATAACAAAAATTTGTGTAACAAAAATTATATATATAACCTAATATATAATCTATAACAATAACAAAAATTTTGTTATAATCTATAACAATAATAAAAATTCTCTTTTGCCTAGACTGGAGTGCAGTGGCGCCATCTTGGCTCACTGCAACCTCCCCCTCCTGGGTTCATGTGATTCTCCCACCACAGCCTCCCAAGTAGCTGGGATTATAGGGACTTGCCACCACACCTGGCTAATTTTTGTATTTTTTTTTTTTTTTTTTAGTAGAGGTGGAGTTTCGCCATGTTGGCCAGGTTGGTCTTGAACTCCTGACCTCAGGTGATCCGCCCCCACCCCCTGAGGCATCCCAAAGTACTGAGATTACAGATGTGAGCCACTGTGCCCAGCCTGGAAATTATTTTTTGAGACAAAATCTGCAATCTGAGCATTCTAATGTATCAAACTGTTTTCTTTTTTCCACATTTCCTTATGTCCTTAGCTACATACATAATTTTTAAATTTTTGAATCAAAGCCTAGGTGAAATTTTTGAATCCCTAAACTAACACCCTTTTGAAAGCTAGGTGCCTTTTGTAGACAAGTACCTCTTTCAGGGTCTACACATAATGAGCCCTGGTCTAACCATTGATGAAACATGAGGAAATGTTGCTTCCTTAGAGGAAAAGGAGGTATGCCACTGAGTGACAGGCATCTGCCTCTCCATTGCTTCAGTTTGCCAGTACCTGAAACTGTCCCAGTATTGTAAGGTTCTCCCAGAGACATTTGGACACTTGTACATTTGCATTTTCATTGTAAAGGAAGTATATGTGTAGTGCTTAAAAAATATACATTGTTATAGATGATGGCATTGTATTAATGGAAATTTTTCACTCATAAATTTTGATCTCACTCCCCTCCCCAATTCTAATTTATTTGTCTCTGATCGGTCCTCTTTTTAACTCTTTTTATGGAGAAACTTCTATGGCCTTGAATAAGAGATATTTTTAATTATGTCATTCATTTACTGGTCATTTGTTGACTGTCAGGTACTTTGTATACCTTTAGTTTTTATTTTATAATTTCAGCTTTTATTTTAAATTCAGGGGTACGTGTGGGTTTGTTACATGAGTCTATTGTATGACAATGAGGATTAATGTACAAATGATTGTGTCACCCAGGTAGTGAGCACAGAACCAAGTAGACAGTGTTTTAGTCCTGGCCTCCTCCTCCTCTCTGCCCCCTCCGCAATAGTCCCTACTGTCTATTGTTCCCAGCTTTCTGACTGTGTGTGCCCAGTGCTTTGCTCCCACTTGTGAGAACATGCGGTATTTGTTTTTCTGTTCCTGCATTAATTCTCTTAATATAATGGCCTCTAGCTACATCAGTGTTGCTGCAAAGAACATGGTTTTCTTACATTTTATGGATGCATAGTATTGCATGGTGTGTATGTTGCACATTTCCTTTATCCAGTCTGCCACTGATGGGCATCTTGGTTGATTCCGTATTTTTGCTGTTGTGAATAGTGCTGTCATGAACATAGGAGTACACGTGTCTTTTTGGTAGAACAATTAATTTTGCTTGGAGTATGTACTCAGTAATGGTATTGCTGAGTAGAATGGGAGTTCTCTTTTCTTTTAAATTCTTTGAGAAATTTCCAAACTGCTTTCCACAGAGGCTAAACTAATTTATGTTCCCATCAGCGAATAAGCATTCTGTTTTCTCTACAGCCTGGCCAGATTATGTTTATTTATTTATTTATTTATTTATTTCTGAGACAGAGTCTCACTCTGTCACCCAGGCTGGAGTGTAGTGGTGTGATCTGAGCTCACTGCAACCTCCACTTCGTGGTTCAAACGATCCTCCTGCCTCAGCCTCCCAAGTAGCTGCGATTACAGGTACATGCTGCCATGCCCAGCTAATTTTTGCATTTTTAGTAGAGACAGTCTTTCACCACATTGGTCAGACTGACCTCGATCCACCCACCTCAGCCTCCCAAAGTGCTGGAATTACAGGCGTGAGCCACCATACCTGGCCTATTTTTCTACTTTTAATAATAGAAATTCTGAATGGTGTGAGATGGCATCTTGGGGTTTGATTTGCATTTCTCCAATGATTGGTGATAAGTATTTTTTCACATTTGTTGGTGGCTTGTATGTTTTCTTTTGAGAAGTGTCTGTTCATATCTTTTCCCTCTTTTTTTCTTTTTAAGACAGGGTCTTGCTGTATCACCCAGGCTGGACTGTACGTACTGGCACCATCATGGTTCACTAAGCCTCAACTTTCTGGGCTTAAGTGATCCTCCTGCCTCAGCATCCCAAGTAGCTGGGACTATTGATGCACACCACCATACCCAGCTAATTTTTGTATAATCGTTTTAGTAGAGCTAGGGTTTTGCTGTGTTGCTCAGGCTCGTCTTGAACTCCTGTTGCCCTCTTTATTGGGATTATTTGGTTTTTTTGCCTGTTGTCTTAAGTTCCTTTTAGATTCTGGATATTAGACCTTTTTCAGATGCATAGTTTGCAAATGTTTTCTGCCATTCTGTAGGCTGTCTGTTTTCTCTGTTGATATTTTCTTTTGCTGTGTAGACGCCCTTTAGTTAATTAAACTCATCAGGTCTCATTTGTCAATTTTTGTTTTTGTTACAATTGCTTTTGAGGACTTAGTTGTAAATTCCTTGCCAAGGCGGATGTCTGGAATGCTATTTCCTAGGTTTCCTTCTAGGATTCTTAGTTTGAGGCCTTATATTTAAATCTCTAATTCATCTTAAGTTAATTTTTATATATGGTGAAAGGTAGGGGTCCAGTTTCATTCTTCTGCATATGGCTAGCCAGTTATCCCAGCACCATTTATTTAACAGACAGTCCTTTCCCCATTGCTTATTTTTGTTGACTTTGTCAAAGATCAGATGGCTGTAGGTGTGCAAGTTTATTTCTGGGTTCTGTATTCTGTTCCATTGGCGTATGTGTCTGTTTTTATACCAGTACCAGTCTTTTTTGGTTACTATAGTCTTGTAGTATATTTTGAAGTCCAGTAATATGATACCTCTGGCTTTGTTCTTTTTGCCTAGGAATGCTTTGGCTATTGAGGCTCTTTTTTGGCTCCATCTGTATTTCGTAACATATACACCTATATTTTAATCCTCGTAACAGCTTTACATGATAGTTGTCAATCTGGTTTTACAGATAAGGAAACGAAGGCTCTTTGAGGGCAAAAGACCCACAGCACTGTGATCCCAACCCAGAGGCATCCGTGCGTGACTCTGTAGCATAGACCATGAAGCCTCTAAATTTCTCCTGTGGACTTAAGCATCATTTCACATCACTTCAGCTGTACTTTCCCTTCCTGTTTCAGTGCCCCCAAATAAGTATACTAAAATGAAATGTAATTTAACCAAATGGTAGAGGAGGATGAGACTTTCTTGGAACAGATGAGCAATTATTATATAGAAGAAAATGCACAAGAGGAACATTCATGTTATAAAGCTTCCCAAAGTGACAGGCTCTTGCTCTGAAGATTTAATTTGTCACTCTGTGGTGCACATTTGTTCTTCCAGAGGCTGATTCCTGATGATATTGGTTGTGGAGTCCCTCTGATGTTTCCTTGGCCAGCTTCCCTAGTAGTGCCACTGCCGTGAGCACTGAAGAGGTAGCTCATCGTGTTAGCCCCAATATTGTGAGGCCCTTCTACTGAGCATGAGGGATTTGGGAAAATCTCTTTCAAAGATTCGATTTTTTTTTTTTTTTTAAGAAACAATCATGGTAAACTAATTCAAAGCTTACCCAGCAAATTGTTAAAATATGACAAATGTTAAAATGTCCATTTCAAATCCATCTGATACAGCATGGTACAGTTAAAAGTAGTACCATTTTGGAAGGCAAACTCTCTGGAGCAAAGCTCCCGGTTCGGCTTCCTAAGCATGCTGTGACTGCAGTGATGTAACCCCTCTGTGGGCCTCAGCTGCTTTGTCATGATATGATATGATATCATGTTATATGATAACAACATATCTACCTGAAGCAAGGTGCTAAGGAAGGGACCCCTTGAGGACTCTCCTTCCGTCTTAAGTTCCAGCATTTTTAACAAGTTTATTTAACCCTTTTGCATTTATGGATTATCGTGTCATTCTTAGTGCTCCATACTAAATGCAGTTTCTGTAGCTTCCAGCAAGTTAGACATTTGCTTACCCTGGAGAGCACGGTGCCCTGATCTGGCCAAGGGTGTTGTGTTGGGGTGTCTGCCAGGGGAACAATACCAGCTCCTTTTTCTTTTCTGCCTGGATGACGAGGCCAGCACCACTGTAGGGATTTTGAGTAGACTAGGAGAGTCTTAGAGATGGAATCTAGAATTTGGAAGGGAGTCAGTGGCCAAAAGCCTGCTTCCAAAACCAGCAAAGGTTGGTTCCCTGCTTCTCTTCCTGTGAAGGTTAGGTTAGGAAATCATAAGGGATCACAGGACCAGATGCAGATTTTTGGTTCCACCTCTGTATGCATTCAAGAGAAACATACAAGATTAAATGAGGAGAAGTTTGAGTGACAAATGCATAGTACCTTACCACATTGTGATTAAAACTCCTGGCTGCATCTTCATCTTCAAGTTTCTCTTCTAAGCAATAACACCAAGCAGAAAACAACAGAAATTAGGCAAGGTACATAAGTAACATGCAAAGCAGTTTCAAATTCAAAGGGAGAGGTCTGGGCTATAATTTAGCTATAGTTCTCTAATTTCTTATACTCCTTCCGAACAGTGCTTTGTGTAAAGAAACTGTAATACTAAGGTATAATAGCAGATCTTGAATTAAAGTAAATGAGATAGAATCTCCCAGGAAAGCGATAATGTTGTTATTTTCTATTACTGTTTTAAGAAAATGGAAAGAAAAACCTCAATCTTATCAGGATTTAAACTGTACAAATTACAAATATTCTAGCCAAGAATTTCAGACAAAACAATTTTAAAGGATAAAAGATTCATGGCAATACAATATGAATAGCTCTTCAGATTTTTAAAGTAGTCTCTCTAGAGCATAAAAGCTTGCTGCAGAATCTTATTACTTTTTCCTCCAAGGAAGCAGTCATTTTTTTAAGGCTGTGTCTTGTAACTTTTTAAAATAATTTGCTAAATGATCATCTCCATCGATCAGTCTAGCTCAGATTCTCAACCAGGAGCAATTTTGCTTCCCAGGAACATTTGGTAATGCCTAAGGGACAAGGGTATGCTACTGGCATCCAGTGGGTGGAGACAAGGGATGCTCTCAACATCCTGGCATGCACGGAACAGCCCCAACAACAAAGAATTTCCAGCCTGAGACATCAGTGCTGGGGTGGGGAATCTGGATCCAGCTTATGGTTTATTAGATGATAAATGTCTAGTTATGAACTAGAATACCTTATTATTGTCAACTTTCAAAATGTTCATTTTATCTGGAGTAAAACATTTGGATATTTGACTGCCATGTTGGTTTCTTAAGACAATGAAAATATAACTTTAAATGCGCAACTTAGAATTTGCGTGCCTTAGCACTCAACACAAATACCTAATGTCGGCAATGTCATTTAGAATTACTCAGATGTCAGTTGTTTCTTTTGAATAAAACTAGGCTGTACGAAACTGTAATTCTCTTTCCTTCTTTTTCAGATTGAGAAGATAGAGTGGGACACATGGACCTGTGTTCTGGGGCCCACCTGTGAGGGAATCTGGCCAGCACATAGCGATATAACTGATGTAAATGCTGCCAGTCTTACCAAAGACTGTTCCCTCTTAGCCACTGGAGACGATTTTGGTTTTGTTAAGCTGTTTTCATACCCTGTCAAGGTAATATTCCATTATCTATACTTGCTCAGTCTTATTAATAATCCCAAATCTATCTATTGTAGATAGATTTTTAAAAATATGAAGTCATAAGCGGTTCATAATCTTATTTATGCTGTATAAAAACTTCCCTGACATTGTGTTTGAGTGACTAATTTCAGTGCAGTTCTCATGGCATAGAATTCTACCTTGAAAGGCCTTTAGCCGTCACCAATTTCAGTATCTCACAAACTGCAAAGTAAGTGTTACCTTTACAACCTCTCAGACCAGTGCCTTTCTAACTTGTGTTAGATGCTTCCACGGATGAGGAACTTACCACACAGCAGCCCAACTGATGTTTAAATACCCCCAGTTGTTAAAATGTTTTTCTTTATGTTGAGCTGAATTCTTTTCTTTTTAAATAAAGTTCTACCTTCTGAGCCATCATTAAACAAATTCAGTTTCTCTAACAGCCTTCATCTGTGTTAAGATCATGTTTGACTCCCTGAAGTCTCTTTTTCTTCCCAGCCTAACATCACTAGGTCGTTCAGCCATTTCCCATATTCCATGGCTTACAGCTGTCCCCTCCCTTTAAGCACACTCCAGTTTATCAGTTCTTCCTTCAACTTTCTAGCCTAGAGCTGTATCTAGTGTTTCAGTTGTAATCTGATCAGCTCAGAGCACAATGGGAATGTTACCTTCTTGGTTTTGATTTTTACATTTGTATTAAACTAAAATGGCATTGGCCCTTTTGGCTGCCACACTATACAACTGAATCATAGATATCATTCTCAGAAATATTCAGGTTATCCCCCAGCATGTACTTACATAATTGATTTTCTAAGAGTACAGAACTTCACATTTGTACCAAAAAAGTTGTACTTATTTCATCTCAATGTTCCATCCTATCTGTATCTTTGGAATACCTTGTCAAAGCATTTTCTGTCTCTTGCAGTAGCGTGTCATCCTCTGCTTTCACAATCCTGAGTTCTAAATCACAGAGAAAAAGAGACTGGAACAATCAAACATCAGCTCCAGGAACCTCCCCCTCAATTCAGTGTTACATTCCACTTATTTATTTACTTTAACTAATGCATGAATGAGTAACAGGATTTTGCTCTGTTGCCCAGGCTGGAGTGCAGTGGCATCATCACCACTCACTGCAGCCTCTACCTTCCAGGCTCAAGTGATCCTCCCACCTCAGCCTCCCGAGTAGCTGGGATTATGTGCATACCACCATGCCCAGCTAATTTTTTTACTTTTTGTAGAGATGGGGTCTGACTATATTGCCCAGGCTGGTCCTAAACTCCTGGACTTAAACAATCCTCCCACCTGAGCCTCCCAAAGTATTGGGATTACAAGCATGAGCCACCACACCCAGCTGACATTCTGTCTATTAATCTACACATTGTAACAATTCTTTAATCAGTAACAGACAAGTAAATTGGCCTCCCTGTACAGTCTTGTATTTTAGTTCGAGAAGACATCATTAAACACATGGCAGATGTCTTGCCTAAAGACAGGTGGCTTGTAGTCTTGTCATCCTTAATCTCTCCTTCTAATAAACCAATAAAATATGTGAGGTTAGTTCACAGTGTATCTGTTACTGCCTGGTTATCACTATTTTTTCCAAATCATTATCAAACTTCTAAGTAATATTTCATCCTAGAATTTTCCACAGATTACGTCACCACCTGGATCAATATTTGTCAGAGCCTGTCTGTTTTCCTTTAGGATACAGGAACCACTTTATGTTTGATGCCACCTCTCCTGATTTCTAAACTCTTCAGCTGTTACTGTTTTATTTCTGTGGTCACGTTCGAAGGCACCTGTACTCGTATAAATGAGTTCTGTTTTCTCCTTTCTGGTTTGAAGAACCTTCTCTCTGACAGAGGAATTGAAAAATTGACTTTCAGTTCATGTGAAGTCATCTGATTAAGAAGTGTTCCTAACTTTTCTCTATTTTGCTTCTATCCCTAAATAAATCTTTCACATCCCTTTCAATAGTCTTATTTTTTTTGTCTTCAGCGTTCCAGAAACTACACTTAAAAGTCTGTGCAAGGCTTTTGTATTCATCCTCGGTTATTTACTCCTGTCATTTGTACGTTTTAACCTGAACATACCAGTTCCCTCTACAGCTACTTTGGTTACTTTGGATGATTTTCCTATCTTCTTCTTCTTTTATTAATTATATCTGATTAGATTATCATGGTGAGTAACCCTTTCTAAGACACACATCTGATTACATCCAGTGTTACCTTCATTGTCCATTCCAAAGCCACCTGGCAGCCTCCTGCCAATGATCCATTATTTACTCACTGCACATATCTGTAATCACAGCTACTCAGGAGGCTGAGGCAGGAGAATCGTTTGAACATGGGAGACGGAGGTTGCAGTGAGCTGAGATCGTGCCACTGCACTCCAGCCTGGGCGACAGAGTGAGACTCTGTCTTAAAAAAAATAAATAAAAAAAGTTGAACTCAAAGAGGCAGAGAGAAGGATGGCAGCCAAGGATTGGGTTGCAGGGGGAAATGGGGAGATGTTGGTCAAAGGGTATAAACTTTGAGATAAGTAAGTTCTGGGGATCTCATGTACAGCCTAGTAACTATATTTAATGATACTGAATTATTTACTTTAAGTTTGCTAATAGACTAGATCCTAAGTGTCCTCAGCAAACACACATGCACACACACACAATGGTAACTGTGTTATGATGAATTCATTAATTAGCTTGATTGTGGTAATTATTTCACAATATATGCATATATCAAATCCTGTTGTACACCATGAATACATACAATTTTTGTTAATTATACCTCAGGAAAGCTGGAAGGAAAAAGTAAATTTTAGACATCAGGATACTTATCCCTAAATGTTTCATCATGCACATCATTACCTTGAGTTCAAGATATGCTTTTGGTATTTTTAAAGTAAAATTTAGATACAGTTGAAATACATAAATTTTTAGTATTCCATTTGATGAGCTTTGACAAAAAGCTCATATATCTATATAAATACCTCTTATGAAGATGCATAGGCATTGCCACCCCAGGCCATTTCCTTATACCCCTTCCAGGTCAGTCCCCATGCCCACCCCCTCCTCAAATGTAATAACTGTTTCAGTGTTTTTCACCATAAATTTTACCTGTTTAAGAATTTCATAGAAATGAAATAGGTACTGCTTTTTATCTAGCTTCTTTCACTTGGATGATGTTTCTGAGATCCACCCATGTTGTTATATAATAACAATCCATTCATTTTCATAGCTGAGTAGAGTTCGATGGTGTGGTTATAACAGTTCGTTCATCCATATTCCTGGGATGAACATACTTTTCTAGTTTTCGGTTGTAGTAAAGCTACTATGAACATTTTTAGACGAGTCTTTGTGGACATATGCTTTCTTTCTCTTAGGTAAATATATAGGAGTGGAATTTCTGAGTCATGGGGAAAAATACAACATTTTAAGAAACTGCCAAACCTTTTTCCAAAGTTGTATCATTTTATATTCCCACCAAAAATGTAAGAATTCCAGTAGCTGATACTCAGTATTGTCAGACGCATAAAATTCAGCTGTCCTAGGGCATAGATAATGCCATCCAGTTGTGATTTCAGTTTACATTTCTCTGATGACCAAGATGCTGAGCACTTACTCATCTATTTACTATTTGGGGAGTGCCTATACAAGCCTTTTGTCCATTATTTTAAATTATCTTTTCATTCTTGAGTTCTGTGTTAGGTTTGATTGAAGAAGTAGTTTCATAGCTTAAAAACCACCAGCCAAATATGAATTCTTTTGGTAAGAGCACTTCTTTTTTTTTTTTTTTTAATTCATTTACTTATTTTTTGAGATGGAGTTTTTGCTCTTGTTGCCCAGGCTGCAGTGCAGTGGCATGATCTCGGCTCCCTGCAACCTCTGCTTCCCGGATTTAAGTGGTTCTCCTGCCTCAGCCTCTCGGATAGCTGGGATTACAGGTGCCTGCCACCATGCCCGGCTAATATTTTGTATTTTTAGTAAAGATGGGGTTTTAACATGTTGGCCAGGCTGGTCTCAAACTCCTGACCTCAGGTGATCCACCCACCTCAGCCTCCCAAAGTGCTGAGATTATAGGTGTGAGCCATCACGCCCAGACTTTTCCTCTTTTTTAAAATCTGCTTTTTCTGGCACACTTTCCTTCCCAGATACATGAATCTCTTGCCAATGAATATTTCCAGCTGCATAGTCACACTTGTCCAGTCGCTCTCACTCTGTCGAGCAAAGTTCATTACCTGTTACGAACTGAATGTGTCTTCCCAAATCTATGTTAAAGCCCTAACTCCCAGTGGGACTATATTTGGAGCTAGGCCACTTAGGGAAGTAACTAAGGTTAAGTGAGTTTATAAGGGAGGGGCCCTAACTGATAGAATCAGTGTCCTTACAGAAGAGATGCTGGAGAGCTAGCTTCCTCTCGCCACCGCACACCGCCCCCTCTTCATGTGAGCACACAGTGGGAAGGTAGCTATCTACAAGCCAGGAAGAGAGACCTCACCAGGAAACAAACTGGCCAGCACCTTAATTTTGCCCAGCCTCCAAAACTGAGAAATGAATTTCTGCTCTTCAGTTACCCAGCCTAGGGCATTTTGTTATGGCAACTCAAGCAGACTAATGTACCATGCCATTGCTGTAGTCTCAAATTGAGTTCCATGTCATCAGTCTTGGTGATGAGATCTTATTACTACCACACAGCTCTCTCTGTGTCCAAAATTCAGGTTCTGTTTGTTAGCTGCTAAAATCATGTCATTATCTTGGCCCTTTTTCTCATTCTACTTTCCCATGAGTGGGCATCTCTTCCAGGCATTTTTCTTTCTATGACAAATATATCTTTATTAATATTCAGTTTTAGTTTAAAGCCTTCTCAATTACATCATTAGTGCCCTGCTTCCACCTTGTCCCAGGCTCCGTGAGACACACTCTGTCCTTTGCCAGAACCTAACAAGAGCACAACCCATTTTTGTAGTACCTTAAACCATGGACCAGAAAACCAAATTCTGTTTTTTGACACCATCTGTTTAGCCTGCTGATTGCTTCTCATAGCCTCCCTTCCTTTCCAAACCTACACCCTTCGGCTAAATGAAGAGGCTAAAAGGCCTCTTGTTTGCATTTTTAAAACCCTCCATGCCCTCAAGTCCTTAAGTTTCTTCCTCAGAATGTCAACAGCTCTGGAGAATGGTTCTTCAGAGATAAACTTTGCCTGGAAAATTTTGCAGACAGGGAAATTGAAAAGTGAATGTGGGGGGAGAATGCATAGCCTTCATGAGATTCTGAGGAATTTCCTTCCTACAAGAGATTGACGACCAGTACTCTGGAGACATAGTCCAGATTTTCTTGTTTTAAGACAGAGTCTCACTGTTGCCCAGGCTGTAGTGCAGTGGTATGATCTTGGCTGACTGCAACCTCTGCCTCCCAGGTTCAAGCAATTTTCCTGCCACGGCCTCCCAAGTAGCTAGGATTACAGGCAGCCATCACCTCCAGCTAACGGCGGGTCTCGAGCTCCTGACCTCAAGTGATCCACCCGCCTCTGCCTCCCAAAGTGCTGGGATTACAAGCATGAGCCACTGCACCTGGCCCTATTCCAGGTTTTTCTGGTGCTATCATCCATTATTTCATGACTCGATGGATAAAGAGAGTTGAGGTGACACGGCAAGTTCTGACGAGTGTAACAAACGCAGTTTGGCTTGAAGACCCAGAAAGGTCGTTCATCCTGCTGACTGTGCCAGGTCTTGAGGATGTTTCCTCCACAGTCCCTGCTGGCAACCACCAAACATCCCTGCCAGTGTCTTCCTCCTGAGACAGCAGCTGGTTTCACAGAACCTTCTAGCAACTGTGAATTCCCTTTATTGTTGCATGGATCTTGTTTCCTATTCTGAGAATCTTGAATCACCCACTGCTGGAAGAATCTCTGCTTTGTTAAATCTCTTCAGTGACCCAGAACTTTTTCTCTCTTTCTCTTCCTCTATGTCCCTTCTTTTCCCTCTGCAACCCTGAATCTAATCCCTGAGAATCTGTTTGACTCTGAACCTTTCTTTTTGCATTTTTTTCCTCCATCCCATCTAGAAATCCTTATGTCCCTCTTATAAGTTAAGGGTGTACAGAGGCATTCCTCATGCTGTTTTACTTCAGTAAAGAAACAGCCTGTATGTATAGTGTATGAACTGGTTGCCCTCCTGCTTCCAGTTAGACCAGCAGGGCACATGGCAGCCGGTGCTGTGACTGTCCTGTTCCCATGCCTTGTGGATCTCACATGTTTGAATTGGTTTTTCCTGGAAATTCTTTTGTTTGCCTATTTGCTAGCAAACTAATGATTCTGGAGGGCCTCCTGGAAATCTGACCTGCCTGTTTGCTTCAGGATCTTTCTAGACTCAGTACTCTACTGAGGAATGGGCAGTTCCACTAGCTGTCGGCTAGTGGTTGGCCAAATACAGGGCGATCTTGACAAAAAGTATTTCAAAGTCATGAACGCCTCTGCACCTGTTCCCTGCCGTGTATCTGTGCTGGTTTCAGATTCTCCAGCATGCCAATCCAAAACCCTCTGGGAGCCACTTGTAAATTACTTAATAAAATTTTCATCTAGGATACCAGTGGCCCTCTGATGACCTCAGAGAGTGCATGTGGCTTCCCATATCGTGTAAGGTATTCCCTAGGAGTCGCTGAGAGGATGGAAAAACTCCATCTCTTTAAATGGCTCCCGCTGCAGCTGTTTTTGCCAGGCTGTGGCTCATGAGCTGAATATGGAAGCTCTTTCTGGTGCCAGCTTTGATTTTGTACCACTTGTCAGGATTGCCCTGGTGTGGGCAGCTGACTCACATTCCACCCTCCGCCCTCCCTCACCCGGGGGATAAAGGTGGTGTGTGTGGCCTGGGCATACCACTCCAAAAAGCTTTTAGCCATTACTGATAAATTGGATTTTATGTATTTGGCTATGTTTGTTAAAAAGGAGCTTTGTCTTTAAATCAATGTTTGAGTGTTTCTACTATTAAAAATGCTTTCTAGTGTCTGTGGCAAAAACCGGTCTGTTCATTTTACATCTTACTTGAGTCCCCAGGCTTATAAGAGATCCTTTGCTCTTCTGCCACTGCCTGCACTGTGGTACAAAAGTCACTGTAGGGGATGGCGGTGAAGATATTTTTGATCTACATGTCAACCAGACTCACACTCAGGAGTTTACACTAGAGACCTGTAGAGACAGCACATTTGATATTTGTGAAAATCAGAACAAGCTTTTTATATGTCCATAGATTCCCAGAAAATAGGTTCTGTAGTCTATTGTTTCATTCATTCCCTCAGAAAATATATATTGAGGACATATAGTGAGCTGGATACTGTTTGAGGAAAAAAGAGACCTAGTGCCTGCCCACATGGATCTTACATTCTAGTTGAAATGTAGGGAAATTGCTGTTGAACTGTTTCATTTGTATCCAGTAGAAACCAGTAGAAAATAATGTGGATAAATGAGCCCAGAGAAAAGAGTAATGAGACAGTGGCTGGGGTAATCGCCAGTTTTGGGCTTTACAGGGACAGCACGCCAGATTCAAGAAGTACGTGGGGCACAGTGCGCATGTCACCAACGTGAGGTGGCTGCACAATGACTCTGTGCTGCTTACGGTGGGCGGCGCCGACACAGCCCTGATGATCTGGACTAGGGAGTTTGTGGGGACCCAGGAGAGCAAGCTGGTGGACAGCGAGGAGTCAGACACTGACGTGGAAGAGGATGGAGGTGAGCCCCCACCTGCCACGCGCCTCCTGTGCCGACTGCACCTCCCGCACCTCCCTACCTGGGCCACTGCAAACCAACTGGCTCCCCAATCTCTTTCTGTTGTTTGAGGCTATGACAGCGATGTTGCTAGAGAAAAGGCCATTGACTACACCACCAAGATCTATGCTGTGAGCATCAGGGAAATGGAAGGCACCAAGCCACACCAACAACTGAAGGAAGTTTCCATGGAAGAAAGGTATGGCGTTGCCAGGTTTGTCTGCTTTTATTATACCTGATGAAACTTGTTTAAGCCAGAGTGCATTTTCTTTCCCCTCAAAGTTGCTATTTAAGTCAGTATTTTATAAACCTGCACAGAGTCTTAACCTGTTTACAGGCTTAAGCTGGAAAAAATTGCACAACATCCCAGTACGTAGCAAAGGGTGGTTTAAACTTTGTGGAAGTTGGTTGTGGAATGTGACTTGAATAGACATGAAATGTGATTGGACTAGGCTTCTCCTTGCCCAGAAAAAATGCTGGGGTAGCTGGAAAGCAGTCATGACTGTGGTGGCTGACAGGAAACCCTGCTGAGTAGCAAGGTGGGAAGGGAGGACAGGCTTCTGAAGTCATGGAGGGAGATTTGTGGAGTTGTGAAAAATCATCTTTTCTTCTAACTATAACCTGTGCTTTACACTGCATCACTTGGTGTATCTTCACTTACTGTGTCTTTGTTTGCCCAGATTTGTTCAGGTGGGTTTGGCATTTCTGGCCTATCCCATTTGATTTTGTTGCCTTGGATGCTCTGTGTAGAAAGTGTTTTCTAGTATTCTTTTAGGGCTTTTTGATGTGCTATTTTAAGTATTTTAGCATTTCTAAAAAGAAAAGCTCAGAATTACTATATTATTTATCATATTCATGCGAAGAGAAGATATTGAATAAAAACTCTAATAACTAAAAATTTTGTGGATTTCAAAGATTTTTAAGAATGCCCTGAGGCCAGGTGTGGTGGCTCATGCCTGTAATCCTAGCACTTTGGGAGGCTGAGGCTGGCAGATCACCTGAGGTTGGGAGGTCGAGATCAGCCTGACCAACATGGACAGATGCTATGTCTACTGAAAAAAAAAAAAAAAGAGACAAAATTAGCTGGGCATGGTGGCACACGCCTGTAGTCCCAACTACTCAGGAGGCTGAGACAGGAGAATTCCTTGAACCCAGGAGGCGGAGGCTGCGGTGAGCTGAGATCACACCATTGCACTCCAGCCTGGGCAACGAGCGAAACTCAGTCTCAAAAAATAAAAAGAATTATCTGTTGGCTGTCACATTGAGGTAGGCTTGATGTTCACAGTACACTGGTCCCACAATATATAATTTACGAGGCTCAAGTAGTTTTCATTTGGTATGGCTTTCTGCCTAACAATAACTAATAAGTCTTATCTATCACTTATTACTATAATGTGAGGTTTTAGATGCAAAGAAACATAACCTCCTCCTCTTGCTTAAATTCAGTGCCAGATGTTAAAATAAGCTTGGTAAATAGTGGTTGTGCTACTGGCAAGAAGATTGAATCTAATGCAAAAAAGCTGTAATTTTTTCCCTAGCATCTTTGTTAGATGTTACAAAGATTCAGAGCTCTCTTTTAAGAAAAAATTACAGAGATTTTTCTGCAGTGGTCTTTATAGTTCATCTTGCTTGCAACATGGTTTTAAAGTGGCCACAAGCAGAAAATAATTTTAAAAGTCCTACTTCTAAAAATTAAGGGGAAAAAAGAACCATATGCACAGAAGTGCATGAATAGGCCTCCCACTTAAATAATCCACTCTAAAAAAAGGTTTGGCCTGAATTATACATTTCTTTGAAAAAATTTCCCAGCCTTTCTAATTTCATTTCCAGTTTCACATACCCTTATGAAATGAGTTGACATGGCCATTATTCCAAGGGTATTTCTGGCCGATTTCTATAACTCAGTTGTACATCACTCTGAGATTCATGCTAGCCACCAAAATATAATCATTTAACCCAAGCCCCAAATTCCAAACACTACAGCTGATTTCAAACCTAAACCGAGGTTTAGGTTCGGGGAAAACCCAAAGGAGTTTACCCCAAAAGGGGGAAAGCATAGTTTTTCAGAGCAACTTAAGATGCAATTACAACAGAAATTTACAATTGCTGTCACCTAATCCTCATTTTCTCTCATTGCCTCTTTGGGCAAGTCTGTCAAAATCTTACACTGTCCAACTTACTGAAAGGTAGAAAGAGTGATGATCAAGAGGACCCTAATAATTTTTCATTTTAAAATTCAGAATTTTCAAGCTACCCCATTTTATTCATCATATCAGATAGGAAACTGTACATCAGCATACACTGGATTGACTCTTTTTAACAAAAAGAAAAAGCCTTATATTATGAGATGGGGTAGGCAGTTTAGTACTTGCATTTAAAAAAAAAATTCACACCAGGATTTAGTGAAGAAAACAATTTTAAGTTCTGGAGGAATAATCAAGCCTTTTATATAGAGAGCAATTTCCTAGATAACTTAAAAAGCTTTGACAGCCTCAATTCCCAGGAGGATCTGTAACTAGAGCACATAGTGCCAGCTGCACAGCATGCTGGGAACAGAGCGGGGCTGTGCCAGGTAGGGTCAGTAATAAAGAGTAGTAAATGATGCCCAACTTAACAGCCTCCATGGGGGCAAATCATAATCAGAACCAAGAACAAGCAGTCTCTACCAGTCCTGGTCAGTAATTTTAGGGGAGCCTGAACCTCAGAGATCAGACTGTAGGCAGCTTCTGAACCACAAAAGAGAACATTGCCAGGCCTGGTAGGGCATTCCGGAATTTGGGAGAAGGCAGGATGAGTGACAGGATTGGGAGGGTGGCACAAGATGTCAGATGGCATCTTAGTCCTCAGCCAGGGTATAAAACAGGGCTCATGGACTCTAGCATCCTGGAGTGAGAGAGGGGCAGAGACAGAAAAATGCTGACATTAGGACCACATGAACCCAGGCCGTGGCCACCTTCTCCCTGGGAATATTCAGGGCCATTGCCCGACAGCCCCTCACACTGCTTTCTTTGGCCACTTCAAGCCCTTCTTGAAGATTTGAGAGGCAAGAGTTTTCCTTGGCCTTCCCTTCATTGTGCCTTCTGTATATACCTGCAGATACCTCTATATACCTGGGTGCTTTTTCCAAACCCTTGGGTCAAGACATACATCAATGAGACTAGTGGGAGACACATACTCGAGGACTGAAAGAGATGTGAGCTTGGAACAACCACTCCACACAGGGTCCTTAGCACTAATTTGTCTCTTAGCAATGTTTCAGGCAGCTCTACCTCTGGTAAATCCCCTGCCCCCTTCTAAAAGCAATTAGAAACTTTTAGTGAGATGACTGTAGCACCTGTTCTACTGAGAAAAATGCCTTGGAGGCAGCTGTGCTAAATTTAAGTATCAATCACTTTTTAAGCAACTGAATTCCTAATTCTTAAATTTTAAGATAGTTATGGATTGTTTCTACTTAGACTCAGTTATTTGACTTTAAAATAGCTGTGCGACTTCAGATCATCCTTCCTTGTACAATTGCTAATTACACTGTGAGTTCTTATTCTTCAGAAGCCATATGATCTTCAGTTCTAATCTTTCCAAAAATGAGGAAGCTAAGAAGAAACTTAGAATTGCTCTCAAAAGAATCCTGGGCTATACCTACCAGATATGTAATGTCTGTGAAGCGTTCATCGGGTATCCCCGCTACTCACTTCAGCTTTCCGCTAGCTCACTGGGATGCCCTGCCTCGGTGACATAGACTCGTCTGGCTGGTCCCCAACCTTGGGTGCTCTTGCTGCTCAGCTGCCACATGTGGTGCGTGGCTGAGGAAAGTCATGAGGTCTTTTTTACTTTTGGGAATCCCTGCTTCCCTCCTTATCCGGGCACTAGGGGCTACCCCATGACTGCTGTCCTTCATCCCCAGCCGACTTGAAACTAATTCTGTTGTATGTGAAGCGTTCCACACCTTCCCATCTCTCAAGTGCCAAGCTCCAACCGGACACACCTCTTGCTCTCAACTTATGACCTCATCTCCTTGGCCATGTTTTCTCATAATGTAATCTTTTGTCCATCTGCAAACTTAAGATGTTTAATAGATACTTAAAATGTCAAGAAAGTTCCTTTTGGGGACAAAAAATGGGGGAAAGCATAGTTTTTCAGAGCAATTTAAGATACAAAATGCTTATGTTGTCACAACATTGAGGGATGGTGTCCAAATCCTTTATTCAGACTTCAGCAAAAACTGTTCTCTCCAACTCATCAAGTGATAAAATGCCTAGTGTTTGCTCAGTACTAAATTACTAGAGTTGCCTGTAAAATTAAGAATTTTCTTTCCACATTAGCAAATTGACATCTAGTTTACATGTTATTTTTTGATTTGTAACATAGGGGCTTTCAAGGGGGTCACCCAACCCAAACTGGCCTAAGCAAAAGGGAACTTACTGGTTTACACACCTAAATATCCAGGGGCAGGGCAGCTGCAGGTGTCGCTTGTTAAGAGAACTCACATCTTGCTGCCAGGATTCTGGTTTTTCCCTTCATATTTCAGTTCTGCTCCTCTGGGTTACTGCACTTCTTCAGGTAGAAAAATGGCTGCAGAACTTACAGCCTCTGTGGGTCAAAACCAGAAGGAAAGAACTGCCTGTGATTCACAAGTCCCCACAAATGCCTTATGAGGTGCTATTGGCTCTAGTGGGCCCCAGGACTACCCTTGAACCAATCACTATGGGTTAGGAAGAAAAAGTCTTTGACTATTCCCTTGGAAATAGTCACCTGCCGCCATAGACTAACAATGTAATCACTTCCACAGAGGTGATTTGGACAGACCCAAAATAGAAAATGTCTACTACACTTCACCTTCTTCTTGTCATATATATACTCTCAAAATGCCCCCTTTTAAAATATCCTATATATAGGCCAGGCACAGTGGCTCACGCCTGTAATCCTAGAACGTTGAGAGGCCAAGGTGGGCAGATCATAAGAGGCCAGGAGTTCAAGACCAGCCTGGGCAACATGGTGAAACCCCATCTCTACTAAAAATACAAAAATTAGCCAGGCATGGTGGTGGGCACCTGTAATCTTAGCTACTAGGGAGGCTGAGGCAGGAGAATCGCTTGAACCTGGGAGGCAGAAGTTGCAGTGAGCCAAGATCATGCCCTTGCACTCCAGCCTGGGCAACAAGAGTGAGGCTCTGTCTCAAAAAACAAAAAACAAAAGTTAGGT